AATATTTTTCAAGACTACAAATAATGAATTTGTAGCCTTGAAAAAAGTAACTCCAAATGGACAGAGACATATAATTGCAAAACAGTGTAATGTAAAACCAGTACTTGGTCACATGGTTAAGAATGAAGTGCTTGTAGGCACCGTGGCCTTTAAGAGCTCCTCTTTGTGTTTTGCTCAAAAGCCCTGTTGTCTGACTGCTTCAGAAATCAAGTTCAACAGTTCTTCATTAAAATAATGTTATGATCACGTTCTTTGTCAAAGTTCCACCTCTCTCAAACCCCTCAGTGTTGTGCTGCAGTCTCCAGGCAGGCCAGCAGCTGTCAGCCATGAGGACTATTTTGGTCATAGGAGAGTCGAGCCAACTTTCACACTTTAGAGTTAGAGCATCTCTAATGGAATAGAACGCTGCATGCCAGGGGCCCAGATCAACTTTGGCAACAGGGAATGTCCCTCTGTTCTTCATAGTCATTGTCTGACTTCACTCAGTCAGACTGTAATACTTAGATCACAAGGGTTACATATGATTATATGTTTGTTACATTTTTATCATGGTGATTAGCACAGTGATAGTTATAACAAAACCTTTGTTTCTTGTAAAGAGTCTCAGAGCAGGGGACAAAGGATACACATACATGTGATGTAAAATGTAAACCTACTTTTTAATTCATTTCCATAGAAACAACCGCCAAAAAACAAAACTGAGAAAAAAAAACATTGTTATAGTGTCAAATAATGGCTAGCAGTATGTGTAGTGTATCACCAGCAACACTCAAAATGATAGTTGCATTTAACAATCAAGCCAAATATTTTAAGTACAGTCATGAACAGTTTTGAAAAGACTCTCAGACCATAGACATTATACAGTGATGTAGAAATTCTACACAGAGAAAAGATTTCAGATTGTCATCATCATTACAGACATGAGTCATAATAGATTGTCCTGTTGGTGCAGATCAATGATGGCACAATAGGTAGATTTAGCTGAACATTAAAGGCTCCATCTAGATTTGTCAAAACAATCAACACATAATTCACCAACAAACACAAACCTAGCTTCCGACTAACTGGTCTCATAAAATCAATGACCCGGTTACATTTTTAAATTTTCAACATTAAATTTCAGCCCACAAAAAACATCAAAAATGTCCAAGAATCTCTAACCTTCTATTCTCTGTTCTCTTGAAATACAACATTTCATCAAAGACATATCCAACCAGTGTTCATATCTCTCTTTCTCTTTCATACTCAGACAACCTGTTTCCTCAAACAACCTTGTTTCTTCTTTTAAGATCATACTATTTCCCCATCACAAAACTGCACACCCACACTCCAGCAAGGGAAGGGAAACTTCCTCACAATATCACTTTTTTGGGTCACCATAGGCCTACCTCAGGGCAAGGTGCATATGATCAACTACACTAATGGAGGCCCGGCGTTCACTAACACATTTCTTATAGATGAGCTTTCAAGCTTAAAATAGCACTGTATTAATAACCCAAGGGTCTTTTTGGTGTGAGCAAGTTGCCACCATAAGAAGATGCATGTTAATTTTAAAGGCTATCAATGCATAACTATTTATACTATGAGACAAAATTATTTATTTAAGCATCTCTGTACATATATATCACCAAATGTATTGGTTTAACCCTTACCCCTAACACTCTCTCTTACCCCTAACACTCTCTCTCTCTCTCTCTCTCCTT